AAGTTTCTTTCGTGAAGGCCATGTCCCCGTCTCCCAGTGCTCCCAAAGTTTTGTGCATGTATCTCATGAGCATCCACGTGCTGCTGCCGGTTATTGCTTTGGGGGAAGGTAATTTTCAATAGCAGTAGTTAGGGAAGAGTTGGCAGAGGAGATCGAATTTAAACTGGGTCTTGAAGAATGGATAAATTTGGAAGTGCAGAGCTAAGGCCGAAGAGCTTTCCAAGGCAGAAGGGAGCTCACGACTTAGCAAGAAAGTTAGGCGTACATAGGCCTAATTATAATATGATGAATCTTTCTCACCAGTATAAACGAGTTACGAAAGGAGTGCTGAGATGGGTCAATGAAGTCTGGGAAGAATAAAGAAAGGTCTGTGGTGGAGGTGCTATCTGAACTGGGCTTTGAGGAACGACTAGTGTTATATCAGGCTGTCAAGAGAAAGACATTCAAATTTCTAGGACCAGAAGAGGCAAACTGAAGCCAGAGAGAGCAAGTCCAGGGCAAGAATGTCTACATTGGGCCAATACTTTGATAATATTTAAGATTCCCTTTTCTTTGTACATGTCTCCCTGCCCCCCTGCAGTCTTTCCATGAAGCTTAATAATGGCAGGAAAGGAAAGGATGTGTACTAAAGTAATAACACAGTTACCACTCAGCTGTGACCTTCAGAGTATTTTATTGTTTTATTATTCTTTGGCATCTCTAGGAAGATGACAAGGAGTCTTGATAGTCAGGTTTTATTGAGAATGAAAAGGGAGTTCTAAATTCTAAGAGCTCCATTCACATATCAAAAGCAAAGCTTAGACAATTGAAGTTGGAGTTTTACTCTAAGCTATAGACAGAGGGAACTTGGGATGTGATGTAAGGAGAGTCCTTTCATTAGGGAGGAAGTGGAATGACTTGCAGGGCAGGGAGAGAGAAAGATTTAGAAAGGAAGAGTAGGTTGTGAAGGAGTAAGAACACCTGTGACTGCACCTCCTTCCTCTCAGGGTCAAACTTGTGTGTGGGGGTGGGGGATGGAAGGTGAGCCAAAAATTGCATGATGGGTTAGTGGCCTACTTTCCTAGGCATAGCCTGGGGAAGGCTGCAAGACACTCAGAGGCAAACCCAATAAGGCATGGAGGTACCAGCTCAGCATTGGTAGACCAAACTGTCTAGCTAGTCTGAGAAAACACTGCTGGCTTCCCAAAGCTTGAGCAAGATGTTCAGGACATCCCAAGGGAGGAGGTTCCAACAAACTTCTTTGCAACCCTCCCCCACCCGCCCACCCAAAGCCAAGCAGATAAACAGTCCCAAAGTTGGAAACAGAGTCTGTTGAAAGTGGCGACTTTGAGACCAAAGGCAATGGCAGAGTTGTGGTCAGCAGCAAGACATGCCAGCATGTGATCAAAAGCCAAGGAGCCACTTACATCAACCAGCAGGTTCAGTGAGGACAGCGACCAATGAACAGAGACAGCAACATGGAACACCAGCAGCAGGACTGTCCAAGGACCTGCGCATACGCATGAGAGACCCTCTTCCCCTGTCACTCAGAGATGACCTCTATTTCCCCATGCACTAGGTGCCATCTTCGGGAGGAAAATAGGAAGAGGCTTTGAAAAGCTCAGCATTTATACCAAGAGGCAATCTGAAGCCTGAGACAGACTGTTGGAATAAGAGAATGAGTTATCTTTGATTGGCAAGTTCAAGGCCATCCAACCTCTTCTCCCACTCTCCTAAATAAAGCCAGATGGGGTTCATGAGGGATTTTAAAGTAATGATATGAAATGAAGAAACTGCAACTTTCTTTTGCATGGTCTGAATTTCAATGTGTGGGAGGTGGGAAAAGGGAAGGACATTGAAGGGGCCAGGTCTGAAAGCCCACAGGGAATGTGGTCTAGAGCAGTGGTTTGCTGGCTGACAATCACTTTGGGCTTTCTAAAAATGCAGATCCTGGTGCTCCAATTCCAGACCTGCTAAATCAGAATCCCTTAAGGGGGTCAGGGAAGCTGCATTTTAAAAGCTTTCCTTGTGACGCCAATTTGGAAACAACATCGAAGCTCAGATACGAGGATTAGCCTTGGAGAGACATCTCTTCCTCCAAGTCGGAGGGAAAAGACAAGTGCAGTGCCCAAGGGCAACTGCAGCAATCGGAGGTGACTGCAGTGAGTCAGGAGGTGGGACAGATAATCCAGATGGCTGGTACAAACTGGTATCATCACACTTGGCTGTGAACAGCAAAGATAGGAAGTAGTTATGTGGGTTGCAAGGAATTTTGTCTTAATTGTCCTGTTGTCTTTTAAAGTGGAGTTACTGAGCATGTATAGGCCGTAAGAAGGGGCAAGCGGCAACTGAGAATTGAATTTCTGAGGAGTAACCCACGGAAGCCTTCTAAAGCAGCCTTGCAGAACTAGCTAGGGCTCAGAGCACATGGCTTAGCCCTGGCATGCCAACTTTTCCTCCGCCACCGGGCTAAGGAGGTGAGGAGGAACAGGTGGGGAGGAGAATGAAAGTTTCAGAGTCACAGTGGGAATAAGAGATGAGTCACTAAAGGGATGGGGCCTCTCAGAACCTGGAGATAAGATCAGCTTCCCTGGCAAATTTTAGCTCCCATTCCACATTTAGTAAAGACAAAAATACCCAAAGGCTTTCTTCAGGGATGGCAATGAAAATGGGTTGGAATGGAAGGGAATTTCATTTTTTTACCATACTTACATATTGTTGAGAAGTTTTGTTTTTTACAAAAAAAGTTCTTATATATCCACGTAGTTTAAAAAAAAATACCAAAAGTATATTATGACATTTTTGGATATGTAAAATGCATAATAAAACTTTTGGATAATACATTTATAAGTTGGAAGATAAGAAAAGATAGATCTTGACCTAATAACTGCCTAAACAATTTACCAAAACATTAACAAGGATGTAATCACAAATGTTGTAATGTAATATTACTTATCGATTAACTTGGCATGTTTAATACTACATATGCCCAATATACTTTCTATGCTCATTGTATGTGAACACTTCATGCTAGCTGAACAATAAAATTCTTTGGTTCCACTGCACACTTTTACTTTAGGACACTTGCAACAGACAAGACAAACAAACATTTAGTTCCAAATACACTAATCAAAGTATATATTCAATTTAGGGTACATAAAAAAAATCATGCACGCAAAGGACATCTAAAATCTTTGTATCTAACTTCAAACACCAAATTTTAAGTAGACCAACAAAGATTTTTGTGTTGCTCAAAGGAAGTAAAGAAAAATTACATGTCCATTATGGCTCGCTGAAGGGCTTAATGCATTTTAGAGATTTTTTCTTATGATTAGTCATTGCTTTCTCTAAGTGAACGTGCTGTTAGAGAAGCTTCAAACATTTTCTGCTGAGAATACCTACACATCCAAAGTAAGGAGTGCAAAAAATATACAGCAAACAGTGGTTTTCTCTGGTTGTTATAATCTGGATGATTTTTTTGTTGGTGTTTTTGTATTTTACAAAAGTAATGGATATATTACAAAGTAAAAAAAATAAAAAGTCCCATCCACTGGGCTGCCACTAAAGACCAAAAAAAAGACACAAAAAGTTTTGTGTATCTACATGAATATGATAATCAAAAGGAGTTGTGTGACCCTTAAATATGAATGTGAGGAAGGGGAGCCCACTTAAACATATATTCAAGGAGAAATATATTCAGTCTTCTAAAAAATGTGGTAAAGAAATCTGGGGCACACAGAAGTCGAAGGCTGAGATCAGCTCCACTCTCCAGGGCTGCCAAGCACAGCCGTTTTACCAGACAAGCTCACTTCCTAACTTCCTCAATAGCAGAAACTTCAGACTCTCCACACAACTTTTGATACTTATAATAGAGAAACAGGACGGATAATTGTAGTGTTTCCTTTTGAAAAATTTGTGTCAGAGTTACAACATACCATGGTCAGTCAACCAGATTATTGCTAACGCAGTATTATTGGTGAGGCTCACTGAGAGCTCTCCATGCTTCTAAAGATGGCCAGCATAAGACACAGTGGGTATGCAGCATCTGTGCATTGAAGAAGTCCCAGAAAGGTTCTGGAAGTGGTATTAATGAATGCAAATGTTCATCTTGAAAGGTCTTCTCTGAATTGAATGCTTCCTCTTACCTCATTTATGAAGTGGACTCTTCTAGTTCTGTACAAGTCAGGCTCAGAGTTTAGAGGGTGTTAATTCTGGTCATGGGATAATGGCCAGAGGCAACCACAATGACGAACCTAACAAGTAGACAGAAAACACATTCCTTGGATTTTAACTCCACTCCATGGTGTATGTTCAAATAGGCTTCTACTTAATGCTCTGTGCATTAAAAACACTCAAACCAAATAGATCCCAGCTTGGGATCTCTTCAGCTTCTCCACATTTTCCACTCTTCACCGGCGAACAAGTACAACTGTCAGGCAACACACAGCATGGGCTGGTGGACTGATTGCATTTAGGGCCCCAATTCTTCGCCCCTCCTTATAACTTCGCCTTCGCCATTTCACTCTGTGGTGCCTTTCCACTCTGCGCTTAGCCCTGCAGTTTGTTTCTGGGGAATTCTGGTCAGCACGAAGCAAGCAGATTTGAAAGGGGCTTATGGGATTGGGCTCATTGCTGTTGTCCTCTGCCACCTCCCTGAAAACATGCCTGGGCTAGCTGATGGAGGATGAGACTCCTGGAAGAGGGCTGAGTCGCTCCAGTCAAGGCCAACTCCCGGGTGAGCCAGGCAAGCCCAGAACCACCACCCAGAAATGCCCAGCCTAAACACTGATCTAACTCATAAATTACGTGAATGTTTACTGTTGCATGTCATCGAGCTTTTGTGGTTGTTATGCATTACTTTTGTGGCAACAGAGAATTGCTACAATAAGTTTTCATTCGACATCTCTGAGTGTGACATCTCTCTTGCAGCTTTTTTAAGAAGCTTTGGTTGTAGAGACCTTCACTGTTACCACCTCCCGATATTCTGTAGACTGTGCAGATCCAGTCATCTAATACTCAACACCTAACTCTGTGCTATGTGCTCTCTCAAGCGTTCTCACTTAACCCTCATAACCATGCTGAAAAGTAACTTCCTCATTTTGGGGAATTTGAAGAAATGAGGAACTTGAGGCAGACTGATGAAATGATTTATCTAAAGTCACCAAAGATTGACAGAACCAGGGCCCAAACTCAAGAACTGTAAGTCCAGTTGCATTTTCCATTACATCAGAAATTGATAACCAAGGCTTAAAACTAGCAGAATGTTACTCTGTCCAAGTCATTAAAGACAGAAAAAGTTTGTTTAAAGAAAGCAATTGAGTTTTTATTCCATCATCCGAGATAACTGAAGTATTTGACTATTACAGGGCTGTTTCCTTCAAACATTCCACCCTTGGCATTCTTGTTGCTTAAATGGCCTTTAAGATATTGCTATTCTCCGTGGAGAAATACCCAGACAACCAAAGAGACTAAATCATATATATCCTCCACCATTTCCCTGTTTTACGGTAAAGGATTTTACGTTCAATACTCCTCTTCAGCCAATCACTAATTATGTAAATTGCAAATCTGAAGATTAGCTGTTCCTTGGTGGTAATACTGACTAGAAAAAAAGTATACCCATGCAAATATAAATTATGGAATAGTGGATACATGAAATATGCACCCATTTTCAAAGGTGATTTTTTTTTTCCTGCTGAGGAAGATTTGCCCTGAGCTAACATCTGCTGCCAATCTTCCTCTTTTTGTGAGCCGCCACCACAGCATGACCACTGACAGACCAGTAGTGTAGGTCCGTGCCCAGAAACCAAACCCAGGCCGCGGAAGCAGAGCAAGCTGAACTCAGCCACCAGGCCACTGGGGCTGGCCCTCAAAGGCGATCTTTTAAAGAATGTAATAACAAGCCAGGTTCTTAGACATCTCTCCCTTTGTGATTTCAGTTCTCAAAAAATATAGAAACTAATCAATTAAATATTCTAAGATAAGGTAGTTTTCTAAGGGTTTCTTTAATTGCAGGAGATTATAGGGGTAGACTGGAAAAAGTGGGAAGCAGAACACAGAGAATGAAGTCGACATTTTGGCAAAGGAAAATTGCACCATTAGCTGTTTATATAGACATTGCTAGGAACTTTGAACTCCAAATCTAGTTTACCAAATCTAGCTTGACTTGATTAACATATTTGATTTTATACTTGTTAAACTTGAACAACCGGATACTGGAATGATAAGAGACAGGAAAATAGTGGTTTAGTTAAAAAGTAGTTAAACTTTTAGGGTATAACATTTTGTCAGTGGTTGTCATTTTAGAATTTAAAAGCTGAATTTTCTTTTGCCTCATACTTCCTTTATGCATGTAACTTGTAGCAGAAAATTCCCCCTTTAACAACTTCAGAGCATAACAAGAAACCACAGTGGTTTGCAGGCCACTAATTCTGTTACAGATGAAAGCATTCAATTATCTCTGTAAAATTCAATTCCTTAGAAACTGTGTTTATGATTGACTAAGTCTATTTTTAAAATGTGGTGATACCACATGCTACTATTCAAGATCTTGATTTAAAAGTTGGAATAAAGTAGCTTGTGGTTCTTGGGTAAAACAAAGACACTAATCTGTTTTTTTCAATATAAAAATATTTTCAATACAAAAAGGCAACCTAAAATACTCTTGTTCTAGATGTTAAGCTAGGCTTGTGTAAATCTTCATATTTCCCACTGCAGCCCAAACATACTTTAAAACTGCAAACAATTATTTAAAAGTGGGTCACCATTTGTATTAAAATCTTATTTACATGGCATTTATATTTAAAAGTGTGATGAAATACTGCTAGTAACAAGTCAATATAGTTTAGAGATAAGATCTCATGCAAAAACCTTAAAATTAAAAGCAGAGTTAATTCTAGCTTAAATTCAAGATACGTGATCTCAATGGAGATTGCTGTTGGGCAGTGGGTAAGGCCTCTGATGAATGATTATTCTCACCAGAAAAATCCACATACACACAAAATTCTGCATAAAATGCCAGAGGGTTCACTAGATTAATAATCTTCAGCTGTAAGTGAGCAAAAAATTAAGTTTCACTTAATGCACACACGTATATGTACGTTTCAACTCCCCCAGCCTCAAATGAGCAGCCTATCCTTGGGACGGTTATGGCTGGTATTCTCATGTCTTTTGCCCCAGACTGCCAGCTCAGTAGCACAATCTCATTGTAGATTGTGAAACCCAAGGTGTACAGCTATCTACAGCCTTCCCCTCCCAGCTACCCAGGCTCTACAGTTAGATGTGGGCTTCACAGTAGCATCTGCCCAGCTTGTGGCTGTTGGTTTTCTGCACACCATACACAGTAGCTCAGTAGTGTTGTCCAGTTTTCATACACATTCAGACCCACAAACAAGAGTTCTGTTCCAAGACGTCATTTTGACTGGCTTCAAAAGTCCTCTCCACCTATCCAAATTCCATGCATCCTTGAACACTGTGCTTAAATGGAGTTTTGTCCATCCTCTTCCCAGACCACATTGTTCAGAAGCACCTTCTCCTTTCTCTGTTATCATATCTATTTCCTAAACTACTTTAAAAACTTTTAAAGCAATCTTATTACCACATAGCACTAAGGTAGGTGCAGGGGTAGCCAACAAAACTATTGAAGACAGATTGTAAAAACTGACAAATCTCTATCACAAACTCCATTTATTCTATAACCAATAATAAGGTCATGTAGCTTGTACTGGAGCACAGTAACACATTCTATTCTCTTGGAGCTTCATAAAGAGCACGCGTAGTCTGTTGTTGGCTTATCATTGAACTTGTTCCCTTAAGTCTGATTCAATGTTCTCGCCTTCCATTGATGTGACTTTAAGAATGTTATTATGTGTTCCTATGTGCAAACTAGCATAACATTTGCTTTTTCACAAAATCACCGTCAGTTAAATCAATTCTACAAATATTTCCATACCTATTCATTGCAGCAGAAAATAGCTTTTAGGTATGCCTTCGACTTGTTTCTTTTGGATTCCTACGTTTGTGAACTTTTTAGGTTGGGCTCATCTGGTATATTTAGATGAAAGGGACAAGAGTCTGTTAAAAAGGAAGCTGGACAACCCACATGGTGCAAACATTTTCTTGAGTAGCAAATGAACATCCTAGCTCTGGACACACCCAGTGATTAAAATGACTACGTTGGAGCATATCAGTTCGATACTAAGATGTCTGCTTCCTGCACCAAGGGGCTTTCAATCTATTTTGAAGCAAAGGAGAAAAAAAGATTTGCCAAGTGGGGAGAAAGCTCAAACATACCCCATACTTCTCCCCTACTCTTCAGCCCCTTGATGTATACGTGCAATTATGGACATCAGGATTGTTATAAGATCTCCCGGTGCAAATAACCAGTGTCACTAACAGCAGGCTGATCAGGAATATTCCCAGGGCGAGGTGACAATGGAAAAGGATCTCCTCTGGTCATCTGCCAACTGAATGATGCTGCAGTTCAATGTTGGAAGGCTCCTTTTAGATGGTTTAGAGTTGTATGGTGCAGCAATTTAAGTAAGATTTGTTTAAATATGTTTTCTACCAACACAAAATTGTTGATGAAACTATGCTAGTCCCTGACTGTTCAATGTCAAGTAGGGTAGTGTCTTTTAGCTTTTGAGGTTCCTTTTGTTGCATCCTAAAGCATGTCTTTTAAAAAGCTTGAGGAAAGCAGTCTGCTAACCAGAGAAATACTGACTCATCGTAGGACCTGAGCTCTTGCAAGCACAAAGGAAGTCTGGTTGATCTAAAAAGTTTTTTAAGTTTTTCAATTATTTCAGAATGATGATTAACTAATTATATGAGTACACTATGTTTTACTTAATATTTTTCAATGAAATCTTTTTAAAAAACAGCACTTATTTGTTTGCTAAGAGTATATTTAGAGAGTAAACGTGAATTTCACCTTCTAATCTGTTTTTGTTTACAGCATAGATCATGTGTATTAGATCATTAATTTGGCATAGACAAGTTCTGAAATAAACTAAAATGCATAACTATCTAGCACTGTGGGGTGTGTATTGTGTGTATGTGGGGTATATTAAGTAGTGCATATCTGTCTGCCAAGGGAGTGGGATAAACTTTTTATATAACACCAAACCTAAAAAATAAGATGCACTCTTAATATCATACTAGCATTATGTGAAATACACACAACAAAAATTTTTTTTTGTTTCCATATAATTTAGGGCGTGGACAGTAAAATATAATTCCCTCTAAAAAAAAGATCAGTTTAAATCAAAATCAATTAAAACAATTAAAAATTAGTCCCATAATAACATGGTAAACAACTCAAATGGCTTTTTTTTTTTAATGCTAGGAAAAATGTTCACCTTTCAATGGTGAAAGTACTCTTAACACAGGTAGAGAGCCAACAAGGTAAAAAGTGGGAGCACATACAGACACACACAAATATATATATAAAAATTGACCAGAAATCACAGGACATTTAAGCAATGTTTTCTTAAGTAGAACTATTTTTTTTATACTTTAAATAGACTAAAATATTTGGTGTGGGTAGGGGGAAGGAAATCAGTATTTCACAATTTTACCTTGAAAACCAGCTGTAATAAAGCCTCAGCTCATTGCTTAATTAAAAAAAAAAAAAAATGGAACCACATCGTACTTTTGACAATCATAGGATTAAAGCTTACAAAGAACACATCTACCATCTACATCACAGTGCACAGAGGATGCAGTCTCCAAGGACTACCACAGGGAAACAAGAACAGACTCTGCATCCATCATATTGCATTACAAAATTAATGCCATGTTAGAAAATCTCACCTCCTGTGGTTGGTGTTCTGGCTGGTAAGCACCCGACAGTAGGAGGCTATCAGAAAAGAACTGAGGGCCACTGCTCAGTCTGGATCAGGACAGCCAGTTCCTTTGCCTGCCACTGGCTGATGCATTTAGTAATCTCAATACAACATTCACTGAGAATAAATATAATACCACATTCTGGCTTCTTGAGCAGGATAGTTTGGGGAAGGTAGTAGAGGATAGAGCATCAAAGGCCATATTTTCCCTCAAGAGAGAAGAAATCCACACCACCACTCAGTTTTCTTTTACTGTGACAAATTTAAATTTTAGATTAAATTAAACCCCATAAAGACATGATTTGTACTTACATATACACACAGATTCTGAAGAAGTTAGCTATCTAGCTGCCTCTTCTCCATTTCATTAAACCAACAGTTTCCTTCCCTGGATTACTGTTAGTCTCACCACCACGTAGGTGCCATTAGCTATTATTTGTTACAAATCTCATGTTCCATGCACAGTAGTAAGTAACTGGAGGACACACAGCCAAGTATCAGAAATATTGCGAACCACAGGGCAGCTGAATTTAATTGCAACTATCACAATGTTTAAGGGAGTGATGGTAAATCACAAGAACACCTGGGGTGATCAGCTCCTCCTGGGGTGCCTAGGACTTTCCTGGGTTTAGCATTTTAAGTCCTGCATAGTCCCAGGCACCCTAGGGCAGCTGGTCATCCTAGGAACACCACTCACTCTTCCCTTAGTATCGCTAGAGAAAAGATAAGAATTTTCAAGAGTATAAGGCTACCTACGAGGGCATCAGCCCAAAAATATTTTTATGACACTTGCTAACAGCTAGTTCTAGGAAGTCCATACAATTCTTATTTAACGGTGTCAATTTCAAGAACAGTTGGTAGTACTTAGGCAAATTTGTGAGCAGTGTATAAAAGTTCATCCTTGAAATCTGTTTTTAGACAAATCCTCTAAAGGTTTTTCTGGTTTTGTCCAGTTACATAGTATTTTACTGTATCTGTTTGAGATTTTCAGAGCTAAAATGAATAATCCAGTTTTATACATCTTTTCATATTCTTTTTTTTTTAGGTGAAAACACTCTTTGCCAACCATTTCCCACATTCTTGCTTCATATATTGAAAAGAAGACTGCCAACTGGAGATATTTCCCTAGGATTACAAAGGCCTGGAATTACATTACTTTTAACTGTGCTCCACCAGAAGGTCTGGCCTTGGGAAAAGATGGCAAAAAGAATATTCTCAGATATGAACATTTTTGTTTTGCCTGCAATGCTGTGATCTAGTTCAACAACTGTAGAACTACTTTCATCTTAATCTCTGGAGTTTTTCTTGTTTTGCCCTCTTGTATAAAAATGGTTAGTGTCACACTTCACTATCACTAACAGAAAGATAGAAATATTTATGCCTTCAAGGTCAGGTCAAAAAAGCAAAAAAGCCTGAGGTAAAGCTGGTCTAAGAAATGACCTATTTGGGTTCTGCATTTTGCCAAGAAATAGGGTTTTTAAAAAAAATTTAAAATCCATTCATGTTACTTATTTGCTACATGTGACAATTATTTCTCCCAATTTAAATCATTCTGTGTATAGTTACATAAACCAACAAATGACTACATTCTTAAAGCAGGTACATACATTCACCAGAAAAGGACCCTCTTCTTTCTCACCAATATTTTTTTCTGTTTGAACAATTCAAGTGTGTGAATAATAAGAGTGACGAACAGATACTTTCCTAGTGACTTACTGAGCAAAGGAAAATCTCTTTGGAAGAAGAGAGACTTTAGTGAGACTTCTATTCCTACAGACAAATGCTGAGAACCAATTTTATGCTACAGCATTGTAAAGGGTAGAACTTAATATAGAACCAGAAATATGGCAAGTTATCTAGTGACTAACATTGTAAAACAGCCAAAAGCTTTAAAGCCACAGGGAGAAAGAACAACGGTAGAGTGTGAAATGGAAAATATGTAATAGTTAAGTATTTTTATAACTCTAAAACTTTACTTTTGTCCTTAAATCAATATATTATGGATTTTATGGTTCAATAAA